ATAAGAATTTTCTTCTCATATTCCAACTGGGTTATTCATGACTACTTAATAATAAATGTATTCTCGGGAGTCAAAGTAAATGATCTTCAAATTTGTAGCCCAATCCTCACGATTCCTTACGCACGCTTAAATACTCCATTCCAGAAATTCTGACCCATTTAAGTTGTGGTTGAAGCTTTGCATGGAATGGAAGATTACGTTATGGAGATCAACCGCGAAAGAAGCTTATGTGGTGACCTGATTTACAGACGGACGGAGCCACTAAGGGGGTGGAAGGGGGCTCATGCCCCATCCAACTTAGAAAATTTTCAATTATACTTTTATACTCTATGTTTTAACATTAACGCTCTTTTATTTTATTTAATCAAATTAACCTAAGTTCAAACATTATCACCATTATATATATAAAATTATTTTATACAAGAAGATTTTTTAATGAAACTTAATGAATTAAAAAGTCTTTTTCATAGATGATGATATTTGAATTTTTTTTTCACTTGATCCTGTTAAACAATGAACACATTTTGGTAGAAGGGAAGCATGTCGTGTCGCAGTGCCGCAATGCCATATGTCTGCTACGGTAGGAAGAAACGTCCGTGCGGCACGCAAGGAAGAAGCTAGAACTTGAAATTCCATAAACTTGATGATGTGGCACTACACCGCTGTTGGGATATTTGTGGCTCCCATTCCTATTTGTTCCCATGTGAAATTGTATGTCTTTAGGAAAACTATTTAATAAAGAATAAAATTGTAAATATGAATAGAATTTAGGAGTCATTAGGAAATAAAACATTAATCCTATTAGAAAAAAGAATATTTTATATACTACCTATAAATATAGGGGTGAGAACTAATTCAAGATTATGAGAGAATGTGAGAATACATGGTATTTGATGTAAATGTTATTTAAACACCATAGGGAGAGTGTCTTAGAAACATGAATTATTTCCGCTCTAGGTACTAGATTGAGCGTGGTTAGAAATTAGGATTGTTTCTGCTCTATTAATTATGTACCGGGTTTATGGTGTTGTGTATTCTTGTATATTGTGTTCATGAAACTATAGTGGATTTTTCTCATCTATGGGTTTAGGCGGGTTAGCCAAACCACGTAAATATTGTGTCTCTTTGTGTGGTGTGATTTTAATCTTATTTTAGTTATCTCGAAAGTATATTTTCTGTTGCGCAATCTCCTACAAGTTGTAACAACCAAGATGCTTCCTGACATGAAGCACATTTCGGATTTGAAGACAGTAAGTGCAATGATAAATGTTAGTGTCGATTTCAGTTGTGATCAAACCTCTTGCAAGCTAACCAGTCAAAAAGATGTAACACTGTTTGGAATGTTGCCTGTGCCTGATGAAGAAATGCTATGGGACATGATTTTTGTTGATAAAGCTGATATTATGCTAGAAACTGTCAACTTTTGGAATCTAATGCTACAAGGTTGGCGGCCAAGTTTAAATTTCTACTGTAGTTTTTTTTCGTTCTGCTGTAACTCTTTGGAGCTGAATTTTTTAATAAATGTAACGTTAATTTAGGTGAATTCAGTTGTAAATCAGCTGGTTAGGTGTTTTGTAATGTGATGTGTTTGTAGTAGTTAGCAAAGTATGGCTGATTTATTTTGATTGTAAACCTGCTGCAGAGTATGTGTAATAGCAGTGCAAACCATGTATATTATTTGCATTATTGTTCAATGAAGTGAGACAATTCCCATATTCAGTTTTTTCATTATGTGCCAACTTCTCTGTAGTGTTTTTCCTTAGGATTCTCCAGCCTTAAAACCATCAATTGGTATCAAAGCCACCGTGAGTTTCCAGACCAAAATCTCAACTCTTCAAACACAGCTGAACTCTCTTAAGATCTCCTTCATGGAAACAAACCTAACACCCCTTTCTCCACCCATCTTCAATGGTGAGCAGTACCATGTTTGGGCTGTTAAAATGAAGACTTACTTGAGAGGTCATTTTTTATGGCAATATGTGGAGGAAGAGAAACAAATCCCTCAGCTTGGAGCAAACCTAACTCTGAATCAGATAAGGATTCATGAAGAAGAGGTAGCAAAGGCTCCAAAAGCACTCTCCTACATCCATTATGCAGTAACAGACCAGGTCTTTTCTAGGATAATGGCATGTGATACTCCTAAAGAATCTTAGGATAAGCTCAAGGAGGAGTTTGGGGGAAGTAGCCAAACCTGAAACATGCAGGTCTTGAACTTGAGAAGAGAGTTTGAAATGCTCAAAATGCAAGAAACTGAAAATGTCAAGGAGTATGTGGATAAATAAATGAATGTAGTGAATAAGATTAAACTACTTGGTGAGGAGTTGACTAATCATAGGATTGTGGAGAAGGTTTTGGTCAGTCTACCCGAAAGATTTGAAGCAAAAATCTCCTCACTTGAAGACTCCAAAGACCTGTCCCATATCAGTCTAGCTAAACTTATGCATTCCCTTCAAGCACAAGAGCAGAGGAGGCTGCTAAGGCAGGAAGATTTGAGTGAGGGAGTTATGTTTGCAAGCCAAAAAAACAAGGGATTTCAAGGTGAAAACAGGAGGTATGCTGGAGAGAAGAAGGGAAAAGAAAATGTGAACAATTAAGGAGGAAAGAATGTAGGTGCAAGAACTTTTGGTCCTTGTCCTCACTATAAGAAAAAAAAAACCACTTTGAAAACAGATGCTGGTTTAGGCATGACATACAATGCAGGTCTTGTAAATAATTCAGATACATTGAAAGAGTGTGTAAGAACAAGGGGAATCAGTAGGACCAACAAGCTCAAGTAGTGGAAAGTTCCCAGTAGACACAAGAAAGTACAAAGCAGTTGTTTGTGGTCTCAGAATGCATGGTTACAAGTAGTCCTGATGTGTGGCTGATTGACAGTGGTTGCACAAACCACATGACACCAAATGCCAGCAATTTCATGAACCTTGATTAGGGCTATCAATCTAGAGTAAAGGTGGGAAATGGTGAGCTGCTGGAGGTGAAAGGAAAATGTGATATAGTTGTCCAAACCAAGACAGGTATTAAACATATAACAAATGTTTTGTTTATGCCTAAGATTAGTTTGAGCCTACTTAGTGTAGGACAAATGCTAGAGAAAAATTATTCCCTGTATTTCAAGGACTTTGCTTGTGTTATTTTAGAAAGTGATGGGACTGAATTGATGAAGGTTAGGATGCAGGGAAAAAGCTTCCCTGTAGAATGGGGAAAACTTATCTTTTAAAATCATTTAGCTAGGATAGATGATTCAGAGTTGTGGCATAGGAGATTTGGGCATTTCCATTATCATGCCCTCAAGGAACTTAAACACAAAAACCTTGTCCATAAACTACCCGAAATTGACCAAGGTGAACGATTGTGCAAAACCTGTCAAATTCGTAAGCTCAACAGGCCCCTATTTTCTGTCAATAAAGAATGGAGAGCAAGTGAGAGACTCCAACTTCTACACACTGATGTGTGTGGTCCAATGTAGCAAACTTCTCTAAGTGGAAGTAGATACTTCATCCTTTTCATAGATGATTTGTTTAGGATGACATGGGTGCATTTCTTGAACTAAAAATGTGAGGTAGCTGTGGTGTTTAAAAGGTTCAAATTGCTGGTAGAAAACTAAATAGGTTTGACACTCAAATCATTGAGAAGTGACAATGGTAGTAAGTACACTTCTAATGAGTTTGAAGAAGCATGCAAAGGGGCTAGAATATGGCATCAGTTTAGCAGTCCATACACTCCACAACAAAATGGAGTGAGTGAGAGGAAGAATAGAATAGTGATGGAGATGGCAAGGTGCATGATGATTGAGAAAAATCTGCCAAAAATTTTCTAGGCAGAAGCTGTTAACACTGGGATCTATTTCCTTAATCGGCTACTAACCAAAGCTCTAGACAACAAGACTCCTTTTGAAGCCTGGTATGGTGTTAAGCCAAATGTGGATCACCTAAAGGTATTTGGAAGTGCGTGCTACATCCTTGTTCCAGCAAACAAAAGGAGGAAATTGGATGAAAAAGTTGAAGTAGGCATTATGGTTGGGTATAGTAGCCAATCTAAGGCTTATAGAATTTACAATCCAAGCACCAAAAGGATTGTGATTAGTAGGGATGTCAAGGTAGATGAAGGAGCTAAATGGAATTGGGAAAAAAAAGCAAGTTGAGAGAAGGTCCAGCATTTAGCATGACAAGGATCCAGAGAACCAAAATCCAGAACTGAGTCTAGAAGAAGTGGATGAAATGCCAATCTGGGGTACCAAGTCTCTGCATGATATATATGAAAGGTGCAATATGGTTGAATTAGAGCCTACAAGTTATGCTGAAGCTGCAAAATTTGAGGCCTGGAAGGCTGCAATGTAGGAGGAGATGAATGTGATTGAGAAAAATCGCACTTCGGAGCTGGTTGATCGGCGATTGGACAGGAAAGTAATACAAGTCAAATGGATATTTAAAAGGAAACTGAATTCTGATGGTTCAGTGAACAAACTCAAAGCTAGGCTTGTTGTTAAAGGCTTTACACAGCAATTTAGGGTTGATTTTTCAGAAACCTTTGCACCTGTGGCAAGACATGACACCATTTGGCTTCTTCTAGCAGTGGCAGCTCAATTCAGTTGGAAAATCTTCCAACTTGATGTGAAGTCTGCATTCTTAAATGGATGGCTTGATGAGGAAATCTACATTGAGCAACCAGAGGGGTGTGAAGTTAAGGGAAAGGAGGAGAAAGTTTATCTGCTCAAGAAGGCCTTATATGGCCTCAAACAGGCCCCTAGAGCCTGGTACAGCAAAATCAATGACCATTTGTTTAAGCTAGGATATGTGAGAAGTCCAAATGAGCATACCCTTTATGTAAGGGAACAAAATGGTGAAGTGATAATAGTCTTCCTTTATGTTGATGACCTCCTGGTTACTGGAAGCAATCTTAATCAGTTGGGAGAATTTAAAAGGGCAATGGAGATGGAATTTGATAGACTAATTTGGGTTAAATGAGCTACTTTCTTGTGATGGAAATATACCAAGGCTTAAATGGTTTATTTGTGTGTTAAAAGAAGTATGCTAATGAAGTTCAATATGAACAATTGTAAATCAGTTGATAGTCCTCTTATTCCTAGCCAGAGGCTGAGCAAGGAAGATGATGCCAAGAAGGTGGATGAAGGTGTCTATAAAAGCTTAATAGGCTGCTTGCTGTACTTGACAGCAACCATGCCTGATTTAATGTTCACCACCAGCCTCCTATCTAGATTTATGAGCAAGCCAAGTGAGATACATTACAAGTCTGCAAAAAGGGTGCTACGGTACATCAAGGGCACTACTGAGTTAGGAATCTGGTTTAGAAGAGCTAAAAAATTTAGCTTAATTGGCTATTCAGACAGTGATTGGGCAAGCTCAGTTGATGACATGAGAAGCACTTCTAGATATGTTTTCTTTGTCAATCATGGTGTCTTCAGTTGGCTTTCCTAAAAACAAGACACAGTAGCTCAATCTACTGCTGAGGCATAATACATTTATGTCGTAGCTGCTACAAACCAGGTAGTCTGGTTGAGAAAGATTCTAGGAGACTTGAGGCTGAACCAAGGTGAGTCTACTACCATTTATTGTGATAACATGTCAGTTGTTGCAATAGCTAAGAATCCTATTCTCCATGGTCGAACTAAACACATTAAGATTAAATACCATGTTGTGAGTGAGGCTGAGCAAAACAGAGAAATCAGTTTGGTTCATTACTTGGGAGAGAGCCAAGTTGCTAATATTATGACCAAGGGATTGAATAAGTCCAAGTTTGAAGAATTCATACTCAAACTTGGAGTTTCTAGCATAAATATCAAGGAGGAGTGTTGATCAAGCTGATATTATGCTAGAAATTGCATGTAGGATGTCAACTTTTGGAATATGATGCTGCAAGGTTGGTGGCAAAGTTTAAATTTCTGCTGTAGTTTTTTTGGTTCTGTTGTAACTCTTTGGAGCTGAATTTTTTAATCAATGTAATGTTAGTTTAGGTGAATTCAGTTGTAAATCAGCTGGTTAGGTGTTTTTTAATGTAATGTGTTTGTAGTAGTTAGCAAAGTATGGCTGATTTATTTTGATTGTAAACCTACTGCAGAGTAGGTGTAACAGTAGTGCAAACCATGTATATTATTTGCATATTAGACAATTCCCGTATTCAGTTTTTTCATTGTGTGCCAACTTCTCTACAGTGCTTTTCCTTAGGATTGTCTAGCCTCAAAACCATCAATTTTCTAGTTTAACTTGATATCCATAAGATCAGCAACTAGCCCTGGTCGTGAAATCTGAACATCCTGAATGTCCATTTCATTGCACAACATCTTGAGAGCTTCTGACATTGTTGGCCGTGGCCTTACATTTTCCTTCACGCAAAGCAGTCCCACCTTGAAGAATCGAATGGCTTCTTCTTCAGGATAGTTCATCTGAAGTGTAGGATCCACTAATTTCACCAAATTGCCAGCATTGTAAACTTCCCACGCCTGCAACAAATAAATAATTCTTATTTCCACATTATCAATACAAATCAAACTAACAGAATAAGATGATTATGTAACCCATTTAACCTTCTGGACCAGGTCGAATGTTCCTTTTAGCTCTAAATCAAAACCATAACTTGCCAACCGCTGATAATTTCCAAAGTAGCATTCCAAAACTGTAACATCCGATTTTCTTTCAATGTCCACTAATGGTCATATTCTGGAGCAAGATAGCCTCTTTTGACATTGTGAGTAATTGCAAGAAACCTCATTAGCAATAATGTCTTTTTGTTCCATAAGATTTGTGTCTAAAAGGCAACAAATTAGAGAGTTGTAAGAAAGATTAGAAAACTAATTCACTTACATGTACGTACGCACCAGTACTAATGTAAGAGTTGTTATCCTTAATAACCTTGATAGGCCAAAATCATAAACTTTTGGTTTAAAATTCTGATCAATTAGTATGTTGCTGGCCTTATATACGATGCACAATGTGAGGTTCAATCCCCTCATGATATAGCGAGTCTCGAGCAACTCCTAACAGATATCCCGCCTGATATCCTAACTAAATTTCATCCTGTTTTGCTCCCCGCTTATCAATCAAAAACCAAAACTATTAATTGATTCTCATATAAACAGAGAATTAAACTAATTATTTTGTAAAATAGAATGAAATTACCATTAAGAAATGGGTGAGACTTATTCTCCATGTAATCATAGACAAGATATCTACTGGTTCCATCAATGCAACATCCCGATAAGTTTAACGAGGTTTTCATGCTTGATATCTGATAGAGCAAAGTTCAGATATAAATTCCCTCCACCTCTCATGTTGAGTCTCACATTGACTAAGCACGCTTAAGCCTATTGGGTTATAAGAGGGGTAATCCTCCCATTCAATAAGGCCTTATTGGGTGAGAGGTCAGGCCCATCTCAAATTCTATCATGGTATCAGAGCGCAGGTTCAGTTGAGCTGAGCGCTTGACCAGTGGGTAAGGAGTTAGAGCCAGCACTACCTTTATCAACAGACATGACCCAACATATGGGCTTGACCGTGACGGGGAGTGTTGAGTCCCACATCGACTAGGCACGCTCAAGCCTATTGGGTTATAAGAGGGGTAATCCTCCCATTCAACAAGGTTATTGGGGAGGAGTCAGGCCTACCTCAAATTCTATCATCCATCAATTTAAGTTCAATTGAAGAACTTTCACAAGCCCCAAAGTGCCATCTTGAAGCCGGCCCTTCATTGTCAATCAAACAATTATTCACAATCTTGCATTCACATTAGAAAGAAATTGAAATGAAAATGACACAGATGAGTTCAATTAATGTTCTATTCACATCACATATGCAAGTTAAAATACAAGAAAGTTCTGTTCACACTTGATATTCAGGCAAAGAGAGAAAAGTCAACCTTGTAGACAGAACCAAACCCGCCCACTCCGATCTTGTTCGAACTAGAGAAGCCATGAGTAGCAGTTTTAAGCTCATTAGAAGAGAATACATGAAAGTTTTAATGATTTTGTCCACCTGGTTTTGTGGGCAAATACAGAAAGCAATCAAGAGCGAAACTGAATCAAGAACTACACATCTAACCAGTAACAATATCTACATAAACTGTGCGAACATGATTGAATAAGAAGAGGTAAAGTCTAAATATTACCATCGATGGCAGTTTCAATTTGTGATACAGAGCTGATTGAGCAACAGAACAAGAATTTCATAATGCAACCCTACCTACTTTGTTTAGAAATATTGAATTATAGTTTAAAGGGAAAACATATATTTTATCGAGATTATCTAATTACAGGAGAGGAATAAGGAAAAGAAATATGAAGGTAAAACTGCATGCCATTTATTTTATCGAGATTATCTAATTACAGGAAAGGAATAAAGAAAAGAAATATGAAGGTAAAACTGCAGGTAATTTGTTTTATCTAGATTATCTAATTACAGGAGAGGAATAAAGAAAAGAAATATGAAGGAATAAAGAAAAGAAATATGAAGGTAAAACTGGAGGCCATTTGTTTTATCGAGATTATCTAATTACATGAGAGGAATAAAGAAAAGAAATATGAAAGTAAAACTACAGGCCAAATGTAGTTAGATTTTGACTTCTTAAAGGCGTTCATGCATTTGAATCGTTCTTCTTCTTAAACACAGCTTCTAATTATTCGTATTTCTTAATCACAAATTGTAGCGCTTTCCGCCTTTTCCCAATCACCTTGGGTTTCTTTGGCCACAAACTGTGCATATCCTGGAGGCAATCCAGGATATTTTGCCTGCAAACTAGCTGCAAACTGATCCAAGACATCCTGACCACCCATGGTCAATCTGAATCAGGTCTCAACTCAGTTGCAAAGTCTGAATCTTTATATGGTGTAGGATTTGGATCCGACTGGGATTCGCCGTACCAGTAAGGAATTACCGCCTTAGCTTTTTCCAACCACTTATTCCGAAGCTCTAGCTCAGAGACTTCAATGGTGGAAATCCGGCAAATAAAACACAAAATCTTTGTGCACCCTTGACTAAAAGCCTTTTGAATAACATCCAAAAGTCGCTTTACACCTAGCCAAGTCAAATATTCTTCTCGAATATCTGGGTTGCCGTTACAGAGGTCCAACACCCGTTTAACCCCTTGTTCAGTATATCCTTCAATAGGCCACACTTGTTCTGAGCCTTTGAAACTTCTTCTTCACGCATCCGGACTTGGTTGAGAGTGGGGTTTAGTCCCAACTGAGGGGGTTGTTTCTCTCCTTCTACATACTGCCAGAGTCCTTAGCCCTTCAGGTATGCTTTCATTTTGACAGACCATATAGGTAGTGTTCACCATTAAACACAGGAGGTAGAAAAGAAGCTGTCAGAGTGGCCATTTGTTCAAGAAAAACAGGTCTGATACAGGGTTGTTTTCGGAGAGACAGATGAGTTGATAAGGAGAAGAAAAAAAGGTTCAGTGTTTTTTAGCTAAAGTAACTCAACTCTGATACCATGTTGTTACTCCATCGGAGAATTCAAAGAAAAGAAAGAGAGCAACTTTTTGAGAATAAAGAGAGTTGTATTTTATGCATATTCAACTAAGATTACAGCACAAATAATAAAGCAAATATCTTACTGTTTACACCGACTTTGCAAACATATTATATCCTAAATTAATCTAAAGTCATACATTAATACCAACTTACAACAACCATTACAAACACATCCCTTATAATCTGGCAGTACATATCTAAACATTACAAAATGAATTAGACTTTGCTGCTTCACAAAGTGGACAAACGGCAGGTTGCATTTCCGTTTTGGCACCAAAACATGTTCAAAAACAAACTAGTAAGCTGCTACATTTCCAACCAATTATTCAAGATGAAAAAAACTATTTAATTTCTTTCTTTCCTTTTCTTATCTTCTTGTCTCAGTCCATAAATTCATGCAGGGCTTTTCTATGGAGAGCACTTGCTGATGGCAAGTCAATCACCTGGAACCAGTGCTAAAACCTGCGCAAATCGTAGTATGCATTGTGTTATTGAGGCATGAGCAATGAATTAGTAATTCAACTAGTAACATATGTATATACGAATCTGACATTTTAAATGCAATTTCCCAAATATAATTTTTGTATTTTGGTCTTCTCATTCATGGAGTGTTACACTTTAGCCATTATATATGTAATTTCCTGGTTTCGGCATTGTACATGTATATATAAAAAATGACTCTCTTTAAATTCATTTTAACTTATTTATTGAAGTTCGGGGATGAGGTGAATCATAAAATTTGAGGCAGAGCAAGGCAACCTTTGCCATATATTGAATCATCTTGTTATCACCATTAGCACCCATCAATCTGGGATCCTTCACTTGCTCTAGATTTCCATCTTTTGTAAGTGGTATTGCCTGTGTTTCAAAGGAAGGAGATATCGTCAATCAACTTCACTATATCTATTTAAGAGAAATAATATCTCTACACAATTAATTTATTCTCCTTTT